TACGATAGGGATATCAAGGAGATAGACCAACAATCCCATCCCATTACATGAAAATTTAATTAAAACCTTGTGCATCATCGAATATTAAACTCCATTTTCAATCCTCGAATTTGTAATTGTTGTAGCTCTATTATTGTTATCGTATTACATGTATACATTGTTGTCAATGTTTCATTCATGTCTTCAAAATATAGGGTTTTTATCACAAATGGTCCATGAGGTTTACGAAATTATCACATTTCGTTTCTAACTTTTTTTGTGACACTAACGGTCCTTAAGGTTAGCCTCCATACATCAAAATGGTCCATATCATTACCTTTCGTCAAATTTTCTGTTAAATTGATGACGTGACACATGTGTGGAGCCCACACATCCAATGGTTTAGAGCAACATGATTCTAAATATATTATAATATATTTTTGATATGTGGAGGAGGCTAACCCTTAAGGACCATTAGTGTCACAAAAACATGTTAGAGACGAAAATTGATAATTCCGCAAATCTCATGAACCATTTGTGATAAAAAGCAAAAAATATATGATGTGGAAGTTTGTATCCCTTTCCGATACCCAAAGGACCCTAATTAAGCTAGTGATGAACAACTCAATTTAATGACCCCTCAATCCTATAATATAATATTACTAATCATACAAAATTTAAAAAATAAAAATAAAAACCGAGTGTTGGAATGAATAATGTGAACACACTATTGTATGTCAGCAAGGAATGCCACGCAAGCAGAAGACCCTTAATTACGATGTTTAACTAACTAATTGATTAGGACTAATCTAATCAAACTCTCCAAAGCAAAAGTTTGAATTCAAACATAAAAATACACAAAGCAGCTGGGGATGAAAGAAAGCCCCATGTATATGACTGACGACTCACAAATCAGTCACTGCCTGAGTCTGATTCAACTCACCCAGACATATTTCCATATATGTGTACACATATGCAAACATTCAGAGACATCGAACCCACAAAGAAAACACAGTGATGAAGCGCGCGCCGACGTTGTGTACTTTGTCTATGAGTGAAAGGGGTGGGTGGGTCAGTGGGTGCGCTGATCAATACAGTCATAGTGGCTGCTGCTATGTAGGTAGCTAGCATGTGCATGAAGGTCGTCGTTGCTGCTGGACTTTGATGAACCAAACCCCAAAAGTGCACTGCACGCTTACTTTTTTGATTATTATTTCGTCCATAAACGAATTGAGTTGATAGGTTGAGGTAAAAGGATTACGGGAGTCAAGTTAATACATAGAATCCTGTACACGTTAGCAACACTCAAATACTGTTTAGAATCTACATGTATGTGTTGGGAATTTGGATTTGCCTAGCTAGCTCCATAAATAATATTATCACTACCCTACTTGCATTCTACAATACTGTTTAGACCTAGAGGTCTAAATATTTACGTTTATTGTAATTAGGGTTTGTAAATCCCTCTTCACCTCTTCCAATGAGTAACATAAGGAGAGAGATGGAGATAACGAGACAATGAAATGAGAACAAGGAAGTTCTTACACGTTTTGAACACAATGATAATTAAGCCACTTAAACACCACAAATTAAAATGAGGTTATCATTCGAAACAATCGAGACAACTAACTAGCCAATCAAACTAAAGCACAAATTACATCTGTCACACAAGACATAAATTAAAAATTAGAATTTGGGAAATTAAACTAGCAATAGCTTTCAGTTATATATTATGGTTATCAGTTTTCTTTCGGTTGGCATCAAATCTAGGAATCTGTCACATGACTTGCCTCCACCAAGGAGAACAACTTAAGGAGCCGAAATTCTCTCTCTCATGAGATGAGACACATAATCAGATTAACCCAAACAATCTTTATCTTTTATCTTTTTTTCTTTTCTCTTTATCTGATTGATTTGATAATCACGGAATTAATGCGTATATATCTTTTCGATTACAAGTCTTGTATTAATATACGAGAGGAAAGTTTGAGTGATGATTTGTAAAGCAGAAACAGGATTTGCTCGGGGAAAAGGGTGGCGATAGAGAATCACAGGATAATGGTCACTCTCAGAGACGACGTCACGTCACAGAATAGACCAAATTAAAAGGACCCAAAAAAAGATAAAGAATAATATATATATATATAATTAATTAGCGGGCACGGGCATAATTACGGGGATAATGGCAACAACAGAGGTCGTGGCACCCTCCACGGAGACAATTCAAGGACACCGTACGGAACGAGCGCATAGGCTCGGCATCCGAAGCAACCCGATCCCGAGGCTCCGAGATCCAGGCTGAGGCTCGGTCGTCATCTCTCCCCATAGAATATTTCTTTTTTTAAACAAATCAATACTTAATTAGAAAAATTAGGATCAAGATAATTGGGAGGTGTTTTTTTGTTGTTGTGGAAAATAAGTGGTAAATTGATGCAAAAACGAGATTACATAACATTTAGAACATCTTGATTGATATCAGATGCTGTGTTTATAATACATACAAAGAAAACTGAACTAATTTACGCGTTACAAGATCGACCTGCATAAAGAATAGTATGTAGTACTAGTGGGCTAAGCCTAAAAGTTGATGATAGTAGCTTGATGTTGATCCATCTTAGATAGCCAAAAACTAAGTTAATTTATTCAAATTTTATTTAATTATTTTATAGCTAAGTAGTATGTTTGAACCAGATTTGTCAAGAGTCATACAAATACAAATTTAAAGCGCTGCACAAAGAGATCGAGGAAGAAACTGGATTTGCAGAGAGATTTGGAGACATACATACAATTTGTCAAGATATGTTTGCGTTCAATGAGAACTCAATCACTTTCCGTTAAGTTTTACTGGCTTCATTTCACACACACACACATGCATACCTTGTAAGACTCATATATATGTTTGATATTATCGTTACCTTCTACTATGATCATAGGTTGCACTAGTATATTATATTCACGAGGTTGATTTTGAAATCTTCAATAAAGTAAAAATTTGACTGCAAATTAAAGCTAGCTAGCTTCATCTTCATGCACGATTAAAAGTCCAAAAATGGACACCCACCCACCATGAACCTCTCTCTCTCTCTAACATTCTCTCTTTTGAAATTATATCATGTATGTTTACTGACTTTGGTGTTTGTGCATTTTCACCTTCTTTCTTTTTCATTTTAATGTTTTTATTGAAGCCAAAGCCAACCTAAACAAAAAAAGCAAGCTTACCTACTACAGCAATACTAGTTGTTCACATCCCAAAAGCAGTCAATAACTGGAATTAAAATGTGACTGACTCTCCAACCCAAAAGCTTACCTATGAGGAATTGAACTATGACTTTGATATCATGAAACAAGTTTTTGATTTAAAATCAACTCCACATCTAATTACTTACTAGAAGAAAACTCGGATTTAGAAAAGGGTTATCAAATCTAAAAACCCAACCCCTTTTGGGAGCCGGCACGGCAGCATAAGAAGAAGAAACCCAAGTTCTAGAATTATGTTAGTGGGAGCAGTTTGATTAAAAACAAAATAACTAGAGGAATGTTCATCCAAGGAACATATTTTTCTCTGAGGAAATGTGTGTGGCCATTAAACACCTTCGCACGATTTGGGCTTTTTGGCCCTTTTGTTGAGTTTGCTGGGCTTATTTTGCTCAACAGATTTTAGAAAAACCCATTATTAATAAGACTTTTTTGATCAAGGGTATTGGATATTGGCAGCGGACCTCAGCCCAGCCCAGCCCATTTTCTTTGTGATTCAATCAATCTTTTGTGGCCTCGTTGCTAGCTCAGAATTGTTCTTAGCTTGTGAGAAGTAATTACGAGTTGTTTTATGGTGAGGGTGTCATATATGGACTATAGATATGGACCTTCATATTAGCCGCATAATTCCTTTGAATAGCAACTTCACTTAAGTTTAATGGAATGATCATGTGGTTAATATAAAGGTCCACGTGCGGAGTCCATGCATATATGACACCCTTACTATAAATTCTCACTTTCTTTGTGAGGAGTTATAATGAGATGGTCCTTAATAGCCGTTTGATCTAATGCAAAGTTATTATTGGATTGTTGGATTGAACTGTCTCATTGTAACCCCTCAACATAGCCCCTCATTGTAGAAGCTCCCTTCTATCTTATCTTTTGTGGCCTTATTGCTAGCTCAGAATTGTTCTTAGCTTGTGAGCAGTAATTACTTTCTGAGATGCCAATGCCTGCTCCTCCTCGAATACAACTTTTTATACCTTACCTAGTTCTTCCATTTTGATAATTCTAAGATAAGTTATAGGAGGACATTTTTGAGCAATTAGATTGAGCCTCTTTTCCTTTTGTACCTCTTGCAACTAATTGCCCTGCTTTAAGGGAACAAACAAGGGATGACCCAGAAAATAGAAAAAAGAGAATCATCAGCACAACAGGGAAGTGATTTAGATATATTGACTTAGTTTTCATTTTAGTTCGCAGGAGTTTGTGTAGCTTATATGCAATGCCTTTGTTTGCAAGCAATCAACAATCATAAGCTGTCCAAACCAAGCTTCATCATTGGCCTATTTATTCTTATTATAATAGCACTATTATATTTTCTTACTATATCTTATTTGTGTAGTAGGTATCATAGCCTCCAAGTTAAAATGGATTTGAGGTCAAAAGAGGAAGGATTCTCAAATTGAAAAAGCTGAAGTTTGTAAAATAATCATAATAGAGGGAGGGAACAAATCTTCTCTTAACTAATATTATTATTAGTATAAGGAATTCACTGAAATCATGACATATCTCCCCAATTTATCCACACTTGTTTTATCATCGGATTGGTTGGGTGGGTTAGTTAGTTAGTTCACTATAGATTAGAATAGCCTTTCATCAATGCTCTTCTTTTTGTCAGCTTGTAGTCTCTGCAGGAAGCAAGGTATACCCCATTGGAGGGAGGGAGACAGAAGCTATGGCAGCACAAATTTAAATCACTGGATTTCGAGACACAGATCTACATCTCAAAGTTTGGACACTAATAATTCCTCTAGTAACAAATATACACATAGATAGCCAACTTTATAGTATAAAAAACACACAACCACAGAAATGGAAAATGAATTCAAAGGACAACAGAACTCAAGAAGGAACATATTGATAATAAATCCCTATTGTAGTAAACCCCATTTATTTCTGGTGAACTGAATGACAGATTAAAAGGGTTGGAAACATTTTCATCTAAGTACAGAAAAGAATGTAGAAGAGACAGCAAGCACATTGGAGAGACAATATCAAAACACATCCACACACACAAACAATACGTGGCGGCCGGCTTACTCGAACGATTCCCAATTAAACTTAGGATAGCCAGAATGATTGGTGGCTGAGGCCGATTTGGCTGTCGAAGAGGTTGGGATCAATGCCGGGGCAGAATCGAATGTCTCCCACTGTGTGGTGACAACTACTGGCCCTGAAGCTGAATGCCTTGATGGTTGTTGCCCTTGCTGATGATGTAAAGGTGAATATCCAACTGAATGCCTTGGTTGATGCTCTTGAATTGGTGTTAGCAAATGCCCATTTCCATTGTAATGACTTTGAGGCTGTTGATGGATTGCTCCATGTCTATGCCCATTAGAATGCTTCTGCTGAACTTGCTTTGGAGTCTGACCTCCATTGCTGCTAGGCATGGAGTTTTTAGCTTTCAATATATCCAGAGTTTCAACACACTTCTGCACTCTCCTCACCTTCAAAACAAATTTATAATCACATCATAAATTACCATTGCAGTGCATGTAATTACTAACTTGAGACCATAGTAATTGAAATTACCTGCATTTTCCTCTGCAATTTCACATCTCCATCGCCCATGATTCCGTCTAGTTTAAGCAATTGGTTCATCAGTTGCTCAATCAGAGTAAGCACATCTTGTTCTGCAACTTTTTTACCTTTGGTGATTATTGATTCAAGAGCCGACACCTACAATTACCAACGCCAAAACATTCAGTTTTCCGAAACACGAATTCTAAATTACGAAGAGAAATCTCTGCATACACTTCTGATATAGTACTTGTAAAGACCAAAAGACAATAAAAAACCTGGCCAGCGAGCCTATCTACTTCCAAGCTGATTTCAGAGATGGACTTTGAAGCCTTCTCCATCTTCGCATTTCGTCGCATCTCGAGATATCGCTTTTCTTGGCTAATTGGGTCCTCAACTAACACCATCTTCGATCGGTCCTTCACCCCTGACATGTCAAGAAAAGCCTTTGAGTCCCTCTCCTTGTCTTTGTATATCAGCTTCTGATCTTGATGATGCAAACCCGTCGGTCCAGCCAACATTTTCTTCAAGTCCCCTGCACAACCAACATTACATAATGTAATTTGCTCATACTAAAAGAGACAAATTTAGAAACATAATAAAGGTTACGAAATTGAGAAGTACAAATTACCAAAGGAAGATTGAGCGCTAATATTGATTTCATGGTAAATGGACCCATATTTGACCCTAACTCTAATTGTCGGTGGAGGGGCAATGTTGCAATCAGAGTCTGGATTTCGCTTCTGAACCAACATTCCTCCTGGTCTAAGCTCCCACTCGGCTGGCCCCGACGCATTTCCGCCACTGCCAGAACTTCCATTCAACTCTGACAGTGCCACCCCTGTTGCCTTCGTCTTCATTCTCATCATCTTTTACTCTGTAATTCTTGGAGAGATCTCTCAGATTTTTTCTTCCTGTCGATCTGCGTCAAAAATTATAGATACCCAATTGAGAGAAAAGCTTGCTAGACCAGACCCTGCTTTAGAACTCTCTGATTCTGACCCCAGCATCACACCAACCGCCACGCGTAAACAGAGCATGTGGAGAGAAAAACCATAACTTTGATTTGCTTTACACAAGAATCAATGGCGTCTGGCAGAAGAAACAGACCCAACCCATTCACCTGCAAAGTTAAAGCCTTGTACTTGAAGAAAAAAGTACAAAAATACTGAAACGGCTGCAACCCAGAAAGCACAGACGACAGAACCTACCAGGCCTCAGATTATAGATCTCTTTCAGCCAAATGCAGTATTCAAGTCAAAGAGCTGACAGAAATTTTCAAGGAAAAATACTGCCAAGAAAACAAAAACCCAACAAGCTCAAGCCTGAGATCTTCCCAAAGTAGGTGCCGGAAAAATCAATGTGAAATCAGAATCAAAGAAGTTACAAGTCCTCTCTCTCTCTCTCTCTCTCTCTTTTCTCTGGTTCTGGAGAACTCGAGGAAGAAGAGAAGGAAGAGGAAAAAAAAAAAAGAAGAGTATAAAAAACAAGTGGCCAGCCAGCTAGCTAACCGAGCAGTTGGCACCTCATTATTATATATGTGAATGAATGATTAAATATAGGTACATGATAATTACCAAAAATATATATATGGGTGCATAATTATGCATAAATAATTATTTCTCATGAATTTTTATAAGAATTTGTAAGAAATAAAAATGAAAAAGAAAGCGAAGAAAGTGAAAGAAAGAAACTACGAAAGCCGCCAAAGCTGTCTTAAAGGTTAAAATAACACGGAAACGAAACTTTGGGTCATACACCAAACCAGGGTTAGTTCCGGTACTTGCAGACTTGGTATAGAAAAGTTTCGTACCTTCTTTGGTATCTCGACACGCGTCCAACCGGGGGTAGTTTGGGAACTAAAAAGCGACGTAATCATTGTCCTGCTAATTTTAGGGAGGTTTACGTCGCACACGTGGGAGATTAACGTGGAGGGTCGGCGCTAACTTTGTAGTTTAACGGTGGTGGCAGTAAGTAAGCCCCGTCGCACACGTGTTTCGTTTTCACTTTTATTTTTTAAAATATTTTTGGTGAAGCTAAAATAAATTTTTTGTTTTTCCCCCGAAAAGTCGTTCTCTCTTCACTTGAATTGAAGCCTTCCACTATTAATATTTTTTTGTAATTATTTTCCACTATTATAATCATGCATTGTTTATTTAAATGAACTTATTTATAGGAATAATGAAATCATTGCGCTATGATCATGTTAGGATGCCTTCTTTCTGATTTTCACACTGGTCCGTTAGACTTTATTCATGAAGTAAATTTCGGATTGATTTGCTGTGTCTTGTTTCATTCATATATGTTAAATAATTATTTTAAAAAAACCTTTTCATCTCCAAATGTCTTACTTTTCCAATAACTAAATATATTTATACATTTTCATAAAATAAAATAAAAAGATATTTAATAATCGGCATAAAATAAATATACCGGACCAGGACAAAGTCTTTATTTATTTATTTTTGCTTCAATTTTTTTACTTATTAAAAGGTTTTAGCCATTGAAATAACAAAAAAGGATAAAAGCCAAGAAGAATTCTACAATTATCTGTATGCTTACGTCACAGGAGAAATTTGTCCCCAGAAAAACAGACTTATTTACAAGCAAATGCCACCACCGTCGCACCGACACTCCCATACGTGTAACCAAACACGAGGGAACTTTGTGACACGTGGCGAATTGTGAGCCATGGAGAAAGAGAGTCGCCGCCAAGTAGGAACCGTATGATTTGTTTAAAGTTGGGACTGTGTCTGTGTGCATGCGTGGTTCGATGGAGACGGTGCAACCCACGATAGATTATGGAGAGGGGCGGTTGTTGCCTTTGTCTAACTAGGAGGGAGGATTATCTTAATAATTAATAATTAATTTGGATTATTTCTAATTTTCTTATTGTTTTTGGGTGTTTTTTTGTTTTTTTATGAAATATGTCTTATCTTTGATTGGGGACATGACACCGACCATTTGGTCTATAGAATTGGTCGTCGGGCGAATGGCTTATTTTCCCCCTCTTATTTTTTCGGCAAGGGGGTATTGGATTTTTTATTTTTTATTTTTTGGGGGCAAGAAGGGGTAGGGTATTGGCTTGGCTTTACATCGCAGTGGTTTTATAGAATTTCTGTGGGAGACTTGGAATTATGAAGCACGTGACAAGATACACAATTGTTCTTTTTGTGTACTTGTTTTTTAACAAGTGATAGTCGGTAATATTTGGTCTGCTAGCTAAAAAGATAATCGATCTGAGGAGGTTACATTTGGAATTTTCCTCGAAGAAATATTTCAGGGAGATTTATTATTATACTCAATATAGGGCTCAAATTATATAAAAAATCCTACATGAAATGAATTTTAAAAACACACTCAAAATCCATTTACAACATAACAAAGAGGCTTCGAACATCCTATGAATTACAAAATTACCATCGATTTCTTAAAATATGCCCAACCCTAAAGTCTCATATATAAAAAACCCCCAAATCACTTAATAGGACATCAAAGTAATTTAATAATGAAAATTAAATTCAATAGATGTAGCTGTAATTTTTTGAGTTTTTTTAAAGGTTTGTTTCTAGAAATTAAATTGTGTAGAATTTATCTGTATTATTAATGCTAACAATGAATATATAACTAAATATCTCAATATTTTATCATTCTTATTGTTCATGACAAAATTATCAAACTTTTGAAAACATGCCTTGGCCCTTGGGTCTTGGATCTTGGTGACTTTTGGCAAACATGGAAAGAAAGGGGCTATAAATCTCGACCCGTATTTGGCAAGTCTGGGATCACTAGCAAAATAATCATACAAGATAAATGGCCCAGTTTTATAGGTCCCACACCACACCACAGCCAACCCTAAACCCTAAGGTTGGTGGTGTTCCAAATTAGATGGAGGCACGTGGAAAGTGCATGTGCCTAAAGTCTAAACTCCTAATCATTTTTGCTAATTACAAAGATTTGGGTCTTCATAAAACCCTGCTAATTAATTAATACAATAAGTTATATTAAATCTTACGATTTAAGTGCAGTTCCAGTTGTTGGTTGTGTATAATAAGCAGTTAGTATTTGTTGGTTCTACCAAAACGTTCCATTTGGGTTATACTAATTGTGTTTAAATATAAAGAAGAGATTTGATTGCCAACGGATTCTAGCCGAGTGAAAAATAGCTTTAATTTGTGGGTCAGTGGTCTCAAGTTCAAATTCTTTTTTATTTTTTTATTTTATAGTTTTAGACTATTACTTGTTTTTGTTTTTTTGTTTTTAGATTTGATTATAGGAATCAAAGGGTGGTGGAAGGTCTCTTTAATGGTTAGTTATGTTATAATTTGAAAACGAAAATCCAACTGCCGATAATTAAACAATTCAAAGGCAAAGCTTGTTGCATCTTTATAACTTACATTGAGGAAAGTTTTTGTTTTTATTTTGGAAAATGATGGGGCACTGGATTTGGACCTCACTCGCAGTCACAAGCAAGCAGGCAGGCAAAGGCTAGCGTGCCCAAAAATGCTTGCTAAAGAGGCAATCTCCCTTCATGCGTGACATCCTCAACAAGCAATATGGGTTTTGAAAATTGTGACTGATTTTCTTTGCAATATTTGCCTGATTTTGACGTTGCGCAAGCTTTGTGGTGTGCTATCAAATTCTGACACCTCAAAAATCAATTTATATATTTCCGATTTTTTGGGTTTATTCTCAAAAGATTAATGGTAAATAAATAGAGAGGTTGGTATAGTATAATGTGATATGTTGGAAGCGACATCATCATTGAAGAATGAAAAGGTATATGGTTGGTCATTTGGGCTTGGTGTCTCTCATTAGACATTACCAACTCAGAGGTTCGTAATCATTTGCTTACTTTGTTTAATTGCGTTTCATTAAAATTATAATTATTTTGATCTTCATGACCCAAATCAATTCTACGGGTTAATTCTCTGATAAAATAGTTAAACAATAATTACTTGTCACTATCTTAATTGGTTCCTTCTTATGGTCAGTTAATTTGAGCTGTATCATAGGGTAACCCCAAATGAGCCACCTTGTTTAATCTTTTACAGGAGGTCACAAGAATTTCTTATATTTATATACAAATTTGAAGAACAAGTCTTCGTCAACATTATTAAAAATAAAAACCAGCTTAATTCTTGTATTGAGGAAAAATCAAACTCCGTTAATCCAATCTAGAAATTCATAATTACGTTACTTCAAAAAAAAATCATAATTACGTGAGTGTTGACCGTGACACCTTTGACTCTTTCGTTTGCATTATTAGTTTATGACAGTTCAGCAGTCAGCATCCAATCATCATTAGCTAGTCTGGAGAAATTGGGAATTCACCACAAAAATAATAATAGGTGGAAACCCAAATAATTTGACAAAAGGAATGGAAGCATGTGAAAACCACAAAAAAAAGAAAAAAGAAATAGAATTTGTTGCTTGGTTCCCAGGGACGCATGGGCAACATGGACCAAAAAGAAAAGCTCCAAGCCTCCAAGTGAAACATGCATAGCTGTCCATGTGTCCATTTGTCACAGATTTCCCTCCAAACAAAACCAACCAACAAAACAAAAACCTTATCTTAGAGACCATGAAAATGGTAAAGCTTATCTTTTGGGCATAGACATTGCTGAGCTGAGAAAAAGCCATGGCAGTAGGCCTGAGCTGCCAATTTCACTCTCTGGCCTGCAAGACTTATCAACATCCCAATGCCAAATCAAGACCTTCCATGTTTTGCTCAATGCAACCCCCTCAGAACAACATTAAGGTAATTATAAATGGAGCAGCAAAGGAAATAGGAAGGGCAGCTGTAATTGCAGTGACTAAAGCCAGAGGGATGGAGGTGGCTGGTGCAGTGGATTCTTATCTAGTAGGAGAAGATATTGGCAAGGTATATTTATCTCTTTTCTACATTGTAATACAATGTATATTTGAAGTAACAACACAGTAATATAATGGGGATGTTCTGATCCTTCCTTCAAACAAAGTAGGTGTGTGACATGGAAGAGCCTCTGGAAATACCAATAACCAATGATCTCACAATGGTCTTAGGCTCCATTTCTCAGGTAACAAATCAAAATCAAAATCACCTCCTTTTGTATGTGTTTGTCATCACTCTGTCAATGTTAATTTCTCTCAATATTGCCATTTGTGTTAATTGGCAGTCCAAGGCATTGGGGGTAGTTGTTGATTTCACTGAGCCTTCCAAAGTCCATGACAATGTTAAACAGGTAAAAAGCCACATTAATTCGTGTAAGTTTTTGCTTCTCAGTTTCCATGCATAGTATGAAACATTAATTAAAACTTTCTTTGTTACTAGGCAACAGCATTTGGGATGAGAAGTGTGGTTTATGTGCCTCAGATTAAGTTAGAAACAGTATCAGCATTATCTGCATTCTGTGAGAAAGCCAGCATGGTGAGCACAGAGTGAGATGTCATGCAACAAGTTTTCACAAGTTTCTGTGCTTTTCTTTTTCACTTCCTTGTAACATTGAGTTTCTCACTGATAATGGAGCTGCTACTTTGTT